GGGCCTTTGTCTCAATACAATGCAATACTATATTTATTGGCAACTTTCAAATTACAGGTCAAAGTGCGATCTCATTGGGGGCTAGAGGTTGGGGAGGGGAGGGGCGGGGGAAGAGATAAGGCAAATACGGTAACCCATCTACTTTTTTGGCACAAATTAATAAAACAACAATGATGGCACAAATTTATTTCAAGGCACATTACAAAAATATTAATTTATTAAAAAAATGTCACATCACATAAAATTTAACACAAGATTCCCGTTGAAATAGCTGAGAGAATACTTGCTGGTCATAAACAACGCAGTTGACAAAACTTGCCGACCTCAAGGAGCGAGCATACGGATATATTTATTTGTTCCTTGTCCTATGTCAATTACACAATGTACATAAATGAGGGACACACTGCTGTCTATATAAAATGCTAGAGAATAAGTACAGCTTCAAATTATATTGAGGTATGTTTGTACGGGGATGTTAAGAGTTCATGTTACGATGTTACGTAAATACATACATTTATTCTTACTAAAGTACACCGATAGATTACAACATAATATTTTATCTACAAAGCATGACTGCGCTTTTAAATAAATGCTGCTGCTCCTATAATACATACATACATACGAATATCCATATCACCGTTTTTTTTTAATAACAAAACAGTATTCTACAGACTAAAAAGGTAACTACGGTATCATGTTTTATATTAAAATATTAAAGTCACTCGCGTACAGAACTAGATGTCATCACTTTCACCCCGTGTTGTTGGCTGCTATAGTATCGTATCGCTTCGGTATCTATTCCCTAACATTTTTTGTAAACCTAGTCAATCGGACAAGATGGCGGTCGGCGGTCGGCAGAAGGCGCTAATGAACCTTTACAATCGGCGAGCGCCGCTATCACAGCTCCAAGTCGGACGTAGGTCGGTGCTGCGGCGCTGCATCCGCTATAAACATGTTTGTAATGATACCTTGAAGCGGAAAGAGGGGAACCTCGGGATGTGCGAAGGTGTGCCGCCTCCAAATGTCATCGGCGCAGCTACGGTTCCTGCGGCCAGAGGTACGAGTAGACCGAGAGCAGCGCAATGACGAGCGCCAGCAGCAGTGGCGTAGTCCACGTCGACCCGCCCTCCGGCCCGCCCTGCTCGCGCTGCTCCGCCTGCTCGTCGATGACAGATGGGGGCCAGGGCAGCACTGCGCGCCGTTCCTCCTCCACCACCTCGCCGATGGCGAAAGTCATCATCCAGTCGCGCGCGTACTCGCTGTGCCCGACCTCGTGGAAGGCGTCCGAGGCATCTTTGCCGGCGAGCTCCATGAGCGGCTCGACGCCGCCGGGGTGGTCGAGCAGGAATCGCGTGAGATCGCACACCACGTTGTCGATGATGACCACCGCGTCATCCTCCGAGTTGCGCAGCGCGATCTCCTTGCGAGTGAAGCGCACGGGCGCCATGGTGCAACGTGCGGGTGCGCCGACTGAGGAAACCTTGTGACGTGTGCATACCCGCGCCCCGCGCGCATTTTGCCGCATCGTTCCGTTTAACGTTTTACATGAATATGTCGCGGTGGCTCCGCCCATTTTGCATCTACCCTCAGTAATGACAAAACCGCTGCTGTTGTTTACTGGGTGAATTCTTATTTGAACTTGATAGACAGCTGTTGTCGTTTGAATACAGTGTGTTGTGGAGAGTTGTGAGAGGCGGCCGCGGGGGGTCGTACTCCGGGGATCGCCGTCAATAACCTACGACTACAACGCTTTTCCTCATTTTCCAGGCAATTGAGTGGTATTAACAAGATAAGATACCCAATAATAACACCGATTTACCCAAAATTTCTTTAATAAATCACGATTTAGTAAACTTCCGCCTCCACTTCCGTTAACCTTCGCATCCACCTCCGCTTCCGCTAATGACGCCTCTGTTACAACGTTGCTAGGTATTTGTGTAGTATAAGACATTATTTATTGTATATGATATTGCAAAAATTCAATAGCATCCTAATAATTTGAACATTATACTATTGCGACTTCATCCATATGAATGAAATACAAAATGTGAGTTCAATGCGCACGTTGAAACAAAACCATCTATAGTGTCCCGCCCGTCGCGTCGCCTGAACGTTCCCACACCTTGAGCGAGTCCACTCAGCCCTCGAGCCTCAATATTTTGTGAAATCCTGATTAGATCACTACAATTAAATCAGTACAGATGCGTATGCTGTTAAGTAAGTCTAATCACAATATGAACTATGAAGACAGAACCTCGTCCACGCGACGTCCAGGCGACGTCCACGCGACGTCCAGGCGACGTCCACGCGACGTCCAGGCGACGTTCGGGCGACGTTCAGGCGAGCAATGGTGGCACGGCCGCAACACTAATTGCAGTATAATTTATAAAACTAATTAAGGTATTGTTGTAATGAAGAATATTCATTAAAACAATACAATTATAAACTATTATATTATAGTACACGTATGTACGTATATATTTATATAAAACTTGATAATGTCTTATCAGTTGAAAGCTACTTAGTTATCACATGTTTTTGTTCTATGGAGTTCATGATTTTGTTTTTAGTGTTTATGTTGCTATAAATGCTCCAACTCCGGTCAATCTTAAGATTTACCAGCTATGTAGTTATGGTTTTTGTTACGGAGTTTATATCGAGTGATTTGATGGATCGTGAGATTTATCCCATAAAAACATGAAATATGAAATCTGGTGAGTCACACTAATACTAGTCATTTAAAAAAATAATAACAAATAGCAAAAACTTGGGAACATCTATGAAGAATAAGATGATATTAACACAACTATCGATATTACATCGTGTATATATCTATCGTGTATATATCGTCATAGTCATCATTTGTGTTTCAGCATTCTGATAAATATTTTTGAAATCATTACAATCACAAAAATTACGGAGCAATCGAGTTTTTATGTCGGTACTTAGTTTGTTTGCTTGTAGTTAAAGAAATCTTGCATTATATTTAACAGATAGATTTAATTTTGTTGTTGTTGTTGTATTCAAATAAATAAATAAATAAATTGGCAAAAGTTTAAAAAGAATTAAATTTTGTATGTAAGTTAGTTTTGGTAAATGGTGGATGTAAGTAAGTTACGATTCTCAGCACATTTAGGTTGAATGTAATGATAATAGCTTTTTCTTTTTGTTAGAAGATATAACTCCAAGATGTGAAGTCCAGATGCAAGTCGGCGTTAAAATTGTTTCTTTAAATGTACTTCTTAGCATTTCTCGGTTTTTCCAGTTATATATTATATTATGCGAATACATCGCTTTTGGAGTACAAATGTTTCTTGAATGTTACTTGCATTGCCCCAAAAATAATACCGTATAAAAGCAAAGGATATAAATAAGCAAAATATGCATTATTTACAACACATACTGATGTTGATCTGCACAGTAACTAGAGTACATAACAGTAGCTAGATATTTTCTTATTAATTTTGTCTACTCTCTACTTTCGACTCCGACATTTAGTCGGTTAACTTTTATTCTGAGAAAGTTGACATTGTCTACTTTAGTATTAACACATGTTATATTTAACTTAAATGGACAAGTTTATAATTTCTCAAATGCAGTATTTTAGTTTACCAAAAGATTAATTGAGTTGAGCGATGTTATTGCAATTGGTTAGTGCATTCTGCATTCATATAATTGTGCCTTGATAATGACAAGTGTTGACAATGACAATCATTGTGTTAGAACATTTTATGCTCATAAGAATAAAGTATTTACATTAGATGAATATGCCGCCGCCGTGTTATGCTTCATGACGGTTTTTCTTGTTGTCCAGTGATTCGAGAACATACACACACACGCACACAAACAAATCGAGAGGGATTACAGTAAATATGTTATGCCCAGAATTTAAAAAATCAATTTTGTTATCGATACAGATAAAGAAATAAAAAAAAATTATTTTTATTGTAATCAACAGCCCAATAAAAAATACGCTGTATCACATCAAGAAGTTGCCACTTGCCGTGATAGTGCGTTTTTAAAGCTGAGTGTAAGTTATAATTGAGTAGGAGAGCGCAGCATGCGCAGCTGTTACCTTTCAGCTGACATTATTACACAGATGCAAAGATCCGATCTTTGCTTCGACGTTACAATCTTTAAAAGTAAAATTTATGAGAAGAGATAGGTGTAGAGGAGAGTGAGCAGCAGGCCCAGCGCGGCGGGGAACTTCCATGAGGAGAAGAAGCCGCTCGCGGATTCCTCGGGCAGCGGCGGCAGGTTCCAGTTCACGTTGCGGTCGATCACCTGCCGCTTATCCTGCTCCACCAGCTCCCCGATGTAGTACTTCTGCATCAGTTCCTTGGCGTCCAGGCTGTGGCCGGCATCCTCAAACTGCTCCGAGGCGTCCTTGCCTGCCACGTTTACCAGGATCTCATGTCCGCCGGGGTGGTCGTCGACGAACTTGGTTACATCGTACACTTTGTTGGCTATTACGAACACGGTCTCCGCTTTGGTGTCCCTTTCGGCGATCTCCTTCCTGGTGAACTTCTTGGTCTCCATGTTGTGTCGCGAGCGGCGAGCGTCTCACCCGGCGGCTGTGCGGTCACTATGGCTGGCACGCCGCGTCACGTCTCCGATATTACTCCAGCATCATCCCCACCACATCCATGACATATAATGTACTATTCAGTTTAACACGCAATAGGTAAATATAAAGCTGTTGAATTCATGCAGGTCGCACACCGGCGTGTCTCGCCTCGGAGTTTTCGGACTTGCAAGAGTAATTTTTTTTTCGATAAATAATATTTTAATTTTTTTAAACGACACCAATACCTATATATTTATATAGTAATTACTTAAATTTATGATGCTCGCTTTCTCTTGTATCCCCAGATTTAAATAATTTAATTTCGCCGATAACGAATAACGAACACCTATTGTACATATATATATATATATATCTCTCTGTTTGGTATAGATGTACAATGTATAAGCCTGATAGAACACACAGGCTACACGAGCGACACGGAGTCGCGACTGACAGCTAGTACAGTTAATAATACTGGAGTATCAAAGCATAGTTGTCATGGCAACCGTAGTCGGGCTTTTGCTTTCCTTGTTTCTTCATGAAAAAGGTAAGTTGTAGAGAATCAGACAATGAATAAACAAACCAATACCAATTTATTGTAATGTAAATGTACATACATACATATATACGTCACATATGTCACTACGCAACAGCTTCTGTTTCGATCAATCTCAATGTTATATTATCACCATTCTCTAGATTATTCTCAGGATCAGAAGTAGGCAGTGTAAATGTTGATAATCAACCGATTAACATTATGGTTTTAAGAAAATAACCGGTTATTTTTTTACGGAAATTAAGACAATTTAATTTACGCTAATTAAAAAAATGTTAATATATATTCTTAAAAAATGGATGCTGTTCGTTTGTTTGTTCGACATTTAGCAGGCATTTAAAGAAAATCTTATGATTCACCTGGGGAATAGTAGTGTTTGCCCGAAACAACAACCACATAAGTTTTCGAACTTTTATCACAAAATGTTACCTTTTTACTGTTTGGAGAATCGTAGGTTTTAGCAGTAAATTTTAGGATTTACCGTAGTTCATAATAAACCTTCCTATGTAGTGTAGTATAATATTATAGTCCGCAAGGAAGGTAGCTGGTGCATGTATACAGCTTGACTGCGAAGCTCGATGCGATGAGCTATGTGTATCACAGATTATTTATTTATTATTATATAATATTGTTATATGCGCGCACACGCAAAACTACTGACAAATTGAAACAGTAAATAGGAACTGGTGTACGGTATGAACAAGGTGACAGCGCGCGCCGGCACTCGTCCTCTCCTGACGCCTTTTACAAAATTACCACATTATTGCAACGTTCATTTCATACAAAGTTACTTATAATAATATTATGTGGAAATATTTATCGTAGTCATACACAAATGTGCGCAGTCACGTTCCAAAGTACAAGGACGTCCTCCGACTCCAACTAAAAGAAATAACGTGGAAAAGTTTATACAAACAGTGATAAACTTATAAATAATCAAATGCCGACCGAGGACAAAACCTTTAATAGCAAATGTATATCCCGGTCACCGACTTTATATGTGTACACTTATACATACGTCTTAGAATAATAGTTTCTTACACAAATATAGAAATGTTTTGAAATGCACGATATTTAAGTATGGCCAAGCCACCACTCGCGCGATGAAGCCGTCGACCTTGAGGCGGCTCCAGCTGTCCGCCGACCGCCGCCCGTTCCCTCCACCCGCCACCCGCCACCCGCAGCCTCTACTAGAACAGGTACGTGTAGAGCAGCGCGGCGCAGACCGCCAGCACCAGCGGTGCGCCGCACGTGTCCACCAGCCCTCGCACTGACCACTGCTCAGCCTGCCACTGCTCCTCGCCCTCCGCGGGGGGCCACGGAAGCACTGCGCGCCTCTCTTCCGGCACCACCTCGCCAATGGCGAACGTCTGCATCCAGTCACGCGCGTACTCGCTGTGCCCGATATCGTGGAAGCATTTGGACGCGTCCTTGCCGGCGTTGTCGAGAAGCACCTCTATGCCGCCGGGGTGGTCGAGCAGGAACCGCGTCACGTCGCATACCACGTTGTCGATGATGATGACGGCGTCGTTCCTCGTGTTGCGGCTCTCGACCTCTTTGCGAGTGAAGAGTGCGGATGCCATGGTGCGCGCGAGTGCCCGGCGCGCAGACTGCGCGTGTGCGCCGCTCTACTAGTTCACTGCACGTTTTGACCCCCTCTGACATGACGCCCCCCTTCGCAGGCCTCACACCCGCGAGTCCGCGGTCGCACACCTGTTCACCGCCTAACCTAAATACCGTGCGATCGTGCCATCCCTTTTGCGTCTACCTTCGTCGTTTACGTAAGCAATTCTAGTTAAAAGTACGTCGTGAACTCGAATACATTAACTAGCATACGACTTAGCCTTTCTTTGTACTATTTGTAGTCACTTCTACGTTTGAACTTTTAAACCGTCAGCTAGAATTTCTGTGATCATATACGCAATACAAAACCATATAAGACGGCTTCGTATCTTTATGCAATTTTTTTTTTTTAGGAGAAACTACTCCGACACGTACTTTGCAATAACGACAAAGGTAACAACGTCACGGGATGCAACACGCGCATAATATTTAGGTACAAATATCAAAGCTGTATGAAGTGAAGCAATGGCAACTGGGTCATCGTGAACAGCGATGACTTAGGCCTAGCCACCTCTAACATCCGATACATTCCAGCCTCCTTAGCGGGTGCGTATAATGTGTTTACCATAAACAATTGTCAGCAGAAGTCCAGCGAGAAGCTGCAGCTTTTGAATAAAGTAAGAATTATTAATCGGACTTTAGGGATGGACTACTGAAATACTACTCATTAAAAAACTTCATTTTTTAAAAGTCGGATAACAAGTGTGATCGTTTGATCTTCAATTAAGTATTGGAACTATAAGCCCTAAATTAGGACAAAACCCTGGGGGATGTCACTACACTTGTGTGGCCTCTACTACACTCACTACACAGGCCTTGGACTTCTGCTTAATTAGTCAATAAGGACTCGTTATTCTGCTATTGCGTATGCAATTCGGGTAAGCCGGAAATGATCTTATCAACAAGCGGCAACTCTGACATTAGCTAGATTTAAACATCCATCATTGCTCCATCCGTGTTTGTGGAGTGTACACATCGGAAGACAACAGTTTGGTTAGCTAGCGCCAGACCGCTGTAACCTCTAACTATTGATCCCAGCCGCCGCCAGCCCTCTAACACCGCGCTTGTTCGAGGCTTAAACCTTTATAAACAGCTGAGAGGAGTCATTACTGAGTGATACAGTAAACACAGAACATTGTCCCCGTGCAGTGTCATGTTATATGTTTACAAAGAACACCATTGACCGTGACCGCTACAACGTGTCCGCAACAACGTGTCCGCAACAACGTGTCCGCAACAACGTCTACATATCTGTGCAATTCTAATCACCAGACTGTTGACTAGTATGTCCACTTGTTTGTAGCACAAGAAACATTTAGGTAGCCCTAAAATGTAAAAACAGAGTTTAGTAAAATCTCTTTTAATTACAAAAATAGTTATTATAAAACTTTTGTTTTTCTTTATAAACCTTTAAAAAGAAACACTTACATTACAAATGGCGGAATCGTTTAAAAGTATATTTAGTTTCCTTATTCCTCTACTTTACGTTAACGCCGCTCACTCCGACCACTTCGCTAATTAGTCAAACATGTTAGTGTTTAAATCAATGTAAACTGAAATTGCGGTTTTTTTTCTGAAGGCGCTGTTCCACACATTTAACAGTACACATTACACTACACTGAAGACTCCTTATTCCCAATTCGCTACCCGCACTTGCGCTTCTCTGTTCGATTTGTTTCATAGCATTCTTAGGACTGTTATAATAATTATAAGAGTAGGTTGTTAGAAATGATTTCATTTAATTAACATTCTATTCCGTATTTATCATACAAAAGCAACCCGTGAGCCGTGAGCTGTGAGCCGTGACCCGCGAGCCGCGACCCGCTAGCGGAGGGCATTTGTTCACGTCACGGACACGCAGACAAATGAGGCTAATTGAGCGGCGCTAATAGCCGCCCCTGCCAGCGCTCTCTGCCAGCTGTCATTCCACTGTTCATCTTTCTCCTTATTTCAAACAAATGCATTAGAAGCGAAGATAGTCTGGTGACTGAAGCAGTATCACTCGATCTACAAATGATTTAGATCTATCTCATATTAACGAATTTAAAATTCATAGTTTATCAGTGTAGCGGAGTCCTATGACATCCCGCGATAATACACCACCAAATTTTTCGCCAAAATCGGTCTTCAAAGTTGTAAATATGTACGTACACCATGTAAAGACTAACCCTTTTAGACTATAGATATCGCTTACCCGTAAAACACATTATCGTTTTGCAAATCATCTATCACTAAAGTTAATTTTGATGATTTTGTGACATTAATTAGAAATCGAATGAAATTAAAGACAAGTCAAAAACTAAAGAGCGAAAATAAGGAATTTAATTTATGACAGGATCGTAAAAACCTAAATGTTCACAGATTCCTTTGATTGCTACCTCGGGTCGTCGTAAAAAATGTCGAGTTAGATTAGCCGTTGCTCAATACGATGGAGTAGTGCGGCCGTCCGTCGTGTCGTCGTGTCGTCGTGACGTCGTGATGTCGCAGCGGAGCGCGGGGCGCAGGTGCGGGGCAGGTGGCGGAGGGGGGGGGGTGTCGACAAACCGTCAACTAAATTAGGGGCAAGGTAAAGTGATCGAACGTCGCTGGTAACGACCTCAAGTTAACGACCCCTGATAACTAGCTATTGTCCACATTTTTATCTAGTTTAATAATTATTTCGTTAGCTAGATACGTTGTGTTTACATTATGATCTTACCTTACCATTTTTTACTTTAGATATAAAGTACGTCTACGTTACGTTGCAACATTTGCTCTTCTGGAGGCTTCATGTATGAGTGATTGGAGTTTAAAATAATAAATATAGTTTGCGTGGTGGAAACAGGAAATTTCATTTCATTGCCGCTTTGCTCCGTCAGATTCTGACTTCACCCCTTTTTTTAATTTGTCGGAAATAAGTTTTTGTTTTGTCTAAAGTAACACCAGCTACTCAGGACGCGTTGTAATTCAAAATGTGTACCGACAAGCGGATTACAATGCAGTCATCAGGTGAAGAAAGGACATTTGCTAGATATCAACATAAGTGTAGGAAAAACAATAAACAGTAAAGATGAAATTAATCACAAATAAAGTGTCAATAGACAGACAGTTTTATGTGCGCTGTCGACAATGTATCACACGTTTCGTTACATTTAATCGGCTGCGATGCCGACCGAACGGAACGGTCTCTGCGGAGCTTCGTAAACACATTATAGCGAAAATTTACTTTCTTTACATACGTTTTAAATTGTTTCCTTTTGATGAAAATTAGCAAAATTGTGATTAGCAAAATTTGCGGCGGGAAAACATAAACATACGGGATTTAAGCACAAGAACAGGCAGAAGACACCGACGACTGAAATAATAGATGAATTTTATTGATTTAGAAGACAAACGCTAACATTAGCGAGTCCACATACAGTGGGATTATTTAAAGGAAAACTGAACATATGTAGAAGGTACACACACACACATAAACATTTAAAGTTAATTTCAAAATCAAATTATTGAAAATTCTATTCTAGCCTGTCTCATGTTCGTTTCATTGTTAACGCTGGTTCATGAGGGCGGGGGCGGGGTCGGGGGCGAGGGCAAGGGGCGAGGAGCGGCGGGGTGTGGTGGATGAAACTGAAAGCAAATCAATGGCCGCCAGTTGGGACGCAGCCTTCATTTTTTTGCAGCATTTCCGCAGATGTTTTTCGATTACTCGCTGAGGGGAATTGAAATTCCCCTCACATGCTTCCCGTAAATTGGATAAATAAATGTTAAAATGATGTGCTTCGGTTATTTCGCTCGATACAAATAGAGGCACTTCAATAATTTGAATTTACGAAGCGGCTACGACTAAGCTTAAAGTTAGATTATAACGAGAATAAGACAGATTAAAGAAAAAAGAATACCTTTAATTGTTGCACCGCACACATGAATGAAGGCACTTTTGCTATATAAAACTAGCAGGTGGGTCGGTATCATTACCTCGACCATAACTAAGCACTAAGTATTGATTTGACATAGCAACCTTAGTTTCCATTTAGTCCGCATTTAAAGAAATTTGTTTCTGGAAAGTGTTTTAAGATGAATAGAGAGGCCGATCTTTGCATCTCTTCGCATAATACCGCAGTTGGGGCAAGTGGCTTGAAGTGTACGGGGAATAAATTGAAAAAAGAAATTATTTTTCAGTTTCAGTAAATCGCAGACGTTTAAGTTTCAGGTACAGAACATTTCACTAATTAATAAATATACAAACACACACATACGAATGATGGTCGGTTAAATGGGAAAACGATTTCTTTTAATATGGACGATTTAAAGGCCTGCAACGCATTTGCGGTTCCTCTGGCGTTTCGGATGTCCATGGGCGTCGGATTAAATAATCTTAGGCGATTCGTTGCTCGTTTGCCCCCTTCTCCTATAAAAAAAATGTTATTTTATATTAGTATGACGAACGAGAAAAATATTGCATTGGGCCGAATGATCGGTGGACCGATCGGAGGAACGGGAAACACTCGCCACTCATTGTCGCTCCGCTCCGCTCCGCACATATTTCAAATGTATGCTCTTTTTGTGAACCGATCGTTTTATTCTCTCACTTCATTCGCTGCGCACACTTATGTAGTACTTAATATATGGGAAAGTTTCATCAAATTGTTCTAAATTAACTTTCCAGTCCAGTCTCCAGTTAAAAAGCTGCTGAGCGAAAACGATTTCTTTCTGTGACAAGTGCTTGCCTCATTTCTGCCTGCCTCAGTTCTGCACAACCTTAAATACCCACCCTACTTCCCTATTCATTCACTTTTCAAAGTTTATACCCGACCCGAACTTTCGTCCTAATTTTTGGAATTACAAAATATACGAAACCTAAATAAGGAGGTATCACTAATCGTAAGTAAGTACTGTTGTTATTATTGAAGTGGCTTGACCGCCGCTGCCGCCGCCGCACCTCATCACTAGAGCTACAGCTTATCCGGGCAGTAATGATTGTTAAACACTATTAAAGAACAAATTGTATTTTATCAACGTTTCTTTTATTATTTCTCTCAACATGATCTCCACATGATGCTTACACTAGTTAGACACGACATTGCAGGGCAACGTAACGTTTATAAATCTGTATCTTATTTCCAAACAGCGTTTTCAAAGCAACGCGAGGCGGTCGCATTGCTTACGTATGCATTAAACACGCTGAAGCTGTATCACTATGTATTTCTGCAGCAAATATATATACGAAGACGTGAGGATATCGTCGTTCCATTTATTTTGAAATATTTTCTAAGTAAATATTATTTTATGTCCAGCGATTGGGCTTCGCGTTCGAGGCGACCGGGACCGCGGTGTTCTGGGTAGGGGCGTACAGGGCCTGGACATCCGAGGTTGGGGCGACTGGTGACGCGGTTGGCGGACGCCGACATGCGCTCGCTACTTTACTTTTGATTAAAATACTAAAATACGGTTAATTTTGAATTTAATGAGTTATAAAGTCGATAGATTTCGTAAGATTTGGAGTTCTGTAAGATCTGGCACCAAAAAAAACCTGAAATAAAATATCATTAGCTTTCACTGGCGCACAGGAGTTTCAGAGAACTTGCGCAAAAGTAAATTTAATGATGCAAGTTTTGTTGGAGTTTCGTTTACCGCAGAGTTTCAAGCTTGTCTCCAAATTTGAGCATTAGAAATGTAAGGATCCTTTCTCGTGAGTAAAATATAATGTTTTTTATGATGCTGCCAATAAGAACTCACTCTTATACTTGTAAGAAAGATAACGTTGATGTCGTGCTCTTCGATGAGATGTTAAATTGTAAATAACAACATTTATCTCAGATGACTAGCGATTAATCAGGAAGCTTACATTAGAATCAGGAAATTGGGCAAGTTAAAAAGGAAATCATGAAAAAAAAGAATTTTTATAAGCATAAAAGTTTACAGAATAAAATCCAACAACAGCCAAGAGCAGACAACTGTGAACAAGAACTGCAAGAAACTGACCACGACAAAATTGCCACTATCACTTGGTCACCAAAGTGTGAGGTACTATATGAAATAAAAGGAACGGTTTACAGTTATTAAGGAAACATTCATGTCTCATCCTCATTGTTGTCCTGAGAGCAGCGCCACATCTTTTATACAAAGTAATTGTACACAGACAATTTTATTGCAAAAAGTCTCAAGAGGACTTTTGTTAAACGAGATAAATGACTCTCTTTCAAAGTATATTTAACTCGCAAAACTTTCGGCTCCGGTCTTCTTTGAACTCGCATCTGTCAAGTGCCGATAAAAAGTGAACAAAAGCCGCCACTCTTAATTTGAACAAATTTTATAAAATGTCGATTAGTTATAACTTTCTGATATGTCATCAATACAATATGACTAGCATTATACATACATACATACATATAATTTCCTGTCTGTATCCCAGTGATGTATGTTGACATCTGTCTATTTATCATTTGTCCTTTCATCCTTCACCCCCTTCATAATCATGTCCAATTGTTCTTGTGTATAGGAAGGCTATTCAGATTAACTATTATTAACTATGTAGAAAATGGTATAGATCTCAGTAAATATGTTGAATATTAAGGTATTCGATATGAACATATAAGAAACATCAGTGAAGGAAGCGTTTGTATTTCTATATTTATATCGGAAGAGACAAAAAGTGTGGTGAGTAAGAAAGCTCGCATTGTCTCGCAGGCGTCGCATTCCGACTCGCTCTCAATTGTAAAAGAATAATAAAGGCTCGAGTTTTTCCCGAGCCTATTGTATTTGAAGTTCCTTAGAGAGTTATCGATAAGCCGAGACAACGTCAGATAAATTGCCATTCTCTTAGGATTAAATGGAGACCAACTAAACTTAATAAAAAAATAAAACAAACCCTCAAATACACCGCGTAGTAATAGTCGGTCCCTAGACAACGGCAACTCCGACGCGGCGCTTATACGAGTACTACAGCTGCAAGAATATATTTATTTACAGGTATCACTGTCACAATGATGACCAGGTGGCGCTGCAATGCTGTCACTCTGCCTTTCTGGTTTGATGCTTCAATAAAGAAGTCATTATACATTGACAGTGCTCATTAAGCTACTAAATTGCTCAAACTTAATTTGCATTTTCGACTTAGCGAATTCTTCAGTTGTCGCTGCCGTTAAATGCACTTAACTAAAAGGCAGAGACTGCACTTTCCTTATTTACCTTTGTCGAAAGGCAAACTATGGTGGTGGCAATACCCAGCTAGCGGTGGCTGCGGCTCCCGACTCCCGACTCCCCCTTACCTGCCTCTTACTTACATGATTTCGTAAACTGTACAAACCATAGTCCCTAGGAAAACTTTAAACAAAATAAGCAATGCAAAAATGTTCACTAATTTAGTATTTTTTTTCTTAGGGCTACTATATATGTGTTTTGTGCCGACGTAATATATTATAACACTGTGAGCAAGAAGACGAATCGAATGGTACGAAAATTGTCTTTCGTACCATTCGATTCAGTTTAGTCGTTTACGCTTTTGGCTGTCACAATGAAATTTACATACATACAAACCCACACATACAAAAAACCAACTTACGTAAGCATTTACTCGACCAAGTCACTGAAAAGTTAATTAATTGCTAGCAAACAAAATAAAATACAACTTCTTTAAATATTAAATAATTTATTTGAAAACAAACTTACTAGCACCATGTATGTATACATATAATTATACTTATAACTTAAGTATATATATATAGTGTCAATATGATGACACACCGCGATGTGCAGCCACACACACATACACATACATACATAGTGACATTTTATTGATAACTTTATCTATTAATTTATATTTACATGGTATCTTAGTGATCTCTATACAAAATGTTCTCCTTCCAATATTTATAGTAATTAACATTTACATATTTGTCTGTCTGTTATGAGGAGTTGTGAGGAGGATATAGACATTTTAATTCACAAATATTTTCAACATATTTAAAATCGTCGACACGATGGAGCGCCGCTGCTTATCTATGTGTTATTACTAGAATAGAATAGTAATTAACTCTTGTCACTGTTATATGTCAAAACTGTTGCAACACTGTTCTTGAACAAATATTATTATAAATACTAGTTTCATGTTATTTTATGTTTCAATGTAAATGGAAGAGAGCAATGTGGACTTTGTAATATTTGTAAATAAGAAATCGCATTGATTAATTTTATTGATGTACCTTTTATCCACCATTTTGTAGTGTTTCCTCACTTTATTTACTTTTTAAAACAGCAATTCAGCAAACGAAAGGAGACAATTTCTTTTGTTTGAGATTCACCGACCAGTGGAGAATGGTGACCAGTAAGAAACATATGTTCATGTGTTTCTTACAATCTCTTAAAATATAATATAATAACTTCCTATGCGAGTACAAAAGGAATATGATGAGAATAGGACAAAATTATCGTACATTTTCAGGTTATTAGAAACATCTAAAACTATTGAAGCACAATGTGAATCAAGAAATCGTCTACTTGTTTACACTCGCATCATTGTATTTAGATTTTACAAACAAAAAATGACTTCTATAACAAGAAATTGAGTTTTTTTCATTATTTATACTTGATTTGTATACGTCACCATACTGTGTGCTCCCAAAAGAAATTGACTCCTTTTGTAACAAAAATGATATAATATATTTGTTAAAATAAATATAATTTTACAATGCAACTTCACTATAAGTATGTATATAATTAAAATTTATAAAACTTTTACAACAATTCCGCTGATCCCCGACAGTCTCTTACAAAGTCTTTGATGTTTCTTCAAAGACTAGATACACTCACAGACAACACAATATTTTTTCTGCCATCAATATGACAAGGAAAAGAAGTGTGATAGAGTAACTTTCTATTTTTTTTTTACAAAAATGTAGTCTGAAATGTTGTTAATAATTTTCTGAACAACACTGTGGAAGAGTTTCACGAGTTACATACATGTCTATACTTACGAGTATATTACATTTAACGCAGTGTACACAAGCATTCAACTAAATATTCAACAATTCGTAATTTCTTAAAAACAATGAAAACATTCTCATGAATAATAGTAAAACACTGAGAAGGAGGACGAATTGAAAGATTATAAATTATCAACAATTAAATTTTTAAATAAAAACAATGAAATTTCCACTTGCCGTGTCCGCGTCCTCCCTTGTTTTACTATTTATTAAAATTATATTTCATCATGTGTTCAACAATCAAAACTATAACATTAGCCCTTTATTTTCAAATTTTAATTACAATGTATTTTGTGTCACAAATATTGTTCAAGAATGTAATGTCATTTCGTGCACAAAATATTTTAGTGTTGCCTTCTTTGAAACGCAGAGTCGCGAGCCTTCTTTTAATGTGTTGACTCAACACAAAAACATCGAGAGCCTTAACTTGTAACGTGTGCTTACTTACTTATATAGTAATAGTTTAACTATGAAATATTCCGTCCGTCAGCATCGCCATCACCGCGTCCAATCGCCGCGACGCGACTTCCTCCCTTCACCCATTTATTGAATAAGTTACATTATTTTATTAAATTAATTACATGATTCCCTTCCTCAATAATAATAATAATAATATTTACAGTCGCGGGAGCAACGAATTAGATGATTTTTTGAAGTAAGACCCGAGACGTTGCTTGTAATTATAATCAGTATTATTGCACAACATATAATACATACTCGTATTTCAAATTGTCACCGAGCTGCAGTTGTATCAGGAACAACACTAAGACAACACAACACATACAAGTCGCTAGTTAACATTAAATAAATAAAGTTTGTAAGACTTTAAATCAATACAATTACAATTTATTGCCAACTTTGAATTATTCTTTAAGTATTTATGTAGGTAAAAGTGTTTTTACCAAAACGTAAGCACTCATGTGCTGTTATAATATAAAATTAAAAAATCTCGATAAACTCGTCAAATCCATCATTTTAATTCACGAAGCTCGGGTCATTCGAACGCTACTAGTAATCGTCTCATAAAAACCTTAAGAGTATTTAGAAATCCCTATTCGAAATTATTAAGGTACTTATAATTTAGAATTAACTAAGTTTTCGTTTCCAGTAACATTAGTTACGATACAACAAGGTTGCGAGTTGCGCGCGGGGCGGGGTGAGGCGCGGGGTCGGGCGCGCGATCAGCTGGCGAGCGCGGCGCGCAGCAGGCGGGCGTGCAGCGCTGCGGCCGCCAGCAGCACCGCCAAGCAGCCCCAGCTGTCCGACAGGCCCGCCGAGCCCGTCTGCATAGCCGCCGGCCGCTCGCCTGCCACACACGACACACCTCACGTATTGATACATTCTCGCAATCGATCTTACAAATGATAAAGCATGAGTTTTGAATACTCAAAATGTTAAATGTACTGTGTATGTCAATGTTTCTCGCATCACGAACCATTACACAACAAATAGTAATAGTCTATATCAAGTTAAAATATGAAAAGAAAGTCTCTAGAAGTGTAGGTATATAAAGGGCGAGGCACCGTTGAGCACGTGGACTCTGACGGAGGCGACCTCGGCGTTGGAGGGCGAGCAGGAGTAGCGGCCGGAGTCGGCCGGCGCCGCGTCCTGCACCAACAGGTACGACGTCGTGGCCGCGCCCTTCTCCGTCACCACGGACACGCCGCCGCGCGAAGAGTCGTACGATATGACCTGCTTCACGGCGCACCACCATCCCACACTCGTCATGAACCGTCACGTCTCAAACATAAGCATCCACATCGACACAATGTTTGTTTTCGTGATATCCTTATTAGTATTCTATTTACTTTAATAATTTCAAAATTTTGAAAGACAGAGAAAGAATTTTAAACGTCCTTAGTTACGTGGATTTCACAATGACTTTTCTTTCAGCAAATGAGTCCAGTTCGACAATTTCACGGCAAAATGATTGCATTTGTTATCATTATACATTTCTATAAACATCTACAAATGACATAGACAAACTGGATGGAATACGAGTGTCAAGTCCAAAATAACTCACTAGACTCACTCTCACTGTATGTATATCTATTGGAGATTTACATATTTATGCGTTTCATTGAATGGACGGATTGTTGTTGATTGAGGACAACAATGCCTCTTTTCACGATGCGATGATGCCAATGTTAACATTCATCCGGGTAACAGGGATTACTTAACATCTAGTTAATGGACAGCTAGATTAAGCTTAAACTATGCTTAAAACTAATAATAATAATGAAAATTTGAATAATTACTTTGCGTCCGCTCACCTCGTCCTCGTGGTACCAGAATATGTATGCGGGCGGCTCGGGACTGAACTGGATGAGGCAGGTGAGGTTGATGGTGGAGCCGATGTCGACGTGCAGGTCCGGCCCGCCCAGGATGCGCGCCGACGGCACTGCAACAAGCCAGCGGCAATGCGTCAACTGTCTTGTACCACGCTCCCCTCTTACAGTTACACACTTTCCTGCCTAGCCTGTCATATGCCTCTAGCATTTAGATCTTTATTAATGTAAGCATAAGAACTAGCTTTCACACGCTGTAAGCACTTTTGTTTTAAAAAATAATTGTTAAGGCTTTTGTTCAAACCCTAGGTTAAATAATGTTAGTAACACACACACACACACACACACTAGTAGACACAGACCTGCGTCGGAAAACATCCTCTGATAAATCTCGTCACAATCTGCAGACGGACAATAACTAATATAATATAATATTAATTCCATATGACATATAAAGATAGTAATGAAGATAATAATGTTTATAATAACTGACCTACGACGTGCAACGTGACGAAGAAGGATCGCACGGGCTGCGTGGAGACCTGGCACTCGTACACGCCGGCGTCGCGTTGCTGCGCCCACTTCACCTGCAGCGTCCAGTCGTCGGTGTGCGGTGAGTGCGTTGCCTGGAAGCGCTGGTCCGACGTGTATGTGTAGCCGCCCACCGTCAGGATGTGCAGGTCGCGGTGCCGGATCCATGACACCTGCAACCCGTCACGACAACCCTTAGTCGAGTCGGTAGCAGCATTTACTGCTGTATGAATGGCCTGCTCGCCCGACACAACACTACGGAAACAAAAAAATGTACAGCCCCAAAATAGATGTAATTCATTAGTGTGTGTGCCAAATTCTCGCCCTCTACCCTTGCGTAGTTTTTTCTTATTAGGGTTATAGGATGGTAAAAGGAAGTCGACTCGGCCCGCCGAGACGGGACGTATGGGAAATGGAAATATTCTCTTTCTGGGCGTCTCTTCCTCTATCCAATTGAGGTAGGCCGGTAGGCATCACAAGATTTTCACTATGATATGTCTATAGATAGCGGTCACTTCACTATTTCAGCGAAAGTAGATGACCGCTCGCTCATATTATGCTATATAAAAGGAAGTTATAATTGAGATCTTTAACATGAGGGTGTTATCGTGATCGTGAAATGGTCAGCACTATAATATGTATGTTGTGTTTGCTGATTATAAGTGATTGCACACCGAGGAGGCATGTGTGCGAGGTGACGGGGGACTCTGCTGCCGGCATTTGTCATGTCCGGTGTCCGGTGTCTGTTGTGCAGTATGAGGAATGGCGCAGCTGTATTGAGATTATGCAATGATGGATCGATTCCTTGTCCCGGCGCACTAATGTGCCATATATCAACTCAATTAAGCAACCGTTGCCTAAATGGCGCTGCTATTGGTTCGCTCAACACATTCATTATAATACTTTTGAGCTTTACATTGCCTAAAACGTAACAGATTATTTTAATATAAATACCATTATACTTTACGAAATCATAAAAATACTCATATTAAAAAAAAACATATTACATTCTCATTATAAAACTGTTAATTTTGTTAGTTATTAGGCCGGTCGAATTAAGCAAATTTAATTAATTTTAGAAATTGAAGCAACAGCAGCTCCCTTATATTTAAAAATTAGTAGCAATGTTCAAAACAGTATTATATGTAAAATCGAAACAGTCTTCATTTATCAGTGATAACGCAGATGAAAGCTCCTTAAATAGGTTTTTCGCGTTTTTCAGAGATACAATATGTAGATGCAACTTATTGATTATGATTTTAATTATAATAATAATTATAAAAATTAGAAATAATTAAATTTAAACAAACAGACGATACTTAAACTAAGGAAAATAGAAAATTCAGACACTTAGGATATAATTATATTAAAGGATATAAAACTTTAGTAGCGCATCAAGTTTTCTACAAGTAGCTATTTGTCTTTATTACTTTCATAAAATGGATCCTTGCAGTTGACGAATTTGGGATTGTTTTCGTTCACGCGGCACGAGAAAACGCGTAACTTTTGCTATTCTTCAATAGCAAATGTTATCGGGTCAGGAGACGGTCGCGGAGTGTGTGGAAGTGGGTTACGAGGCGATGCGATGCGATGCGATACGATGTTCGTGTGCCGGATGTCGTGTCGTATTGGTTCGGACGGAGCCACGGAGGTTGCGCCCTATCGATCGCCGCTCTCCCGCGTGCGCAGTCGCTCTGTCGACTGTGCAGCGACATAAAACCTTTCGGGAAATACATCGCTCGCCCGACTCTCAATCTCACTGCGAGATTCTAAACGAAATAATCAGTGTAACTGCGTGCCTTCAATATTCAATATTTAGAAATAGTAAATTTATTATTCTATTTTTAAGTGTTTCTTTTTATATTTCAACCGACAACTACAATAAATATTTTCCTCGGATCTAATGCTAAATTACTATAAAATCATGCGAGGTGTGTATATTGTCCCCGAATTCCATGCTAAAGTTAACATCGCGGGTCCTCGTAGCAGCATGGTGAGACCAGCCAGAAGGAGCAACTAGTTTAAACTGAACCCTCACCACAGCACTAACACGCGTTTTTTCCTCATACATTTATTGTATGAGCTTCAGCTACAGCAGTGTGCTACGCCGCGTCGGCCGCTACGTCGCTACAGTGCTAGAATATCTTTCCGGACCATAAAGTTGGTCGCCGCTACGCAAATTAAATTATAACGGGACGCAGCGGCTCGGCAGGCGACGTGTTATTTGACATCGGCGCGATAATGTGGCGCTGGCGGCCGCCGGCAACCGCAGCGGTAAAAGTGTTAGTTCTGATTTTATATTCGAGACCATTAATATACTTTTAACAGTCGCAGACGTCAGCAACAACGACTTCTGTTGCACGCCATTGGCGCCGCTACCCCTGTCAATACCACGGCCACATAGAAGACAGGCTACCTTCCAGTAAAAGTTCCGTAAAATCGGTCCAGCAGTTTTCGGAGATACCGGATTTCAAAGAGGCTGACAGGAACACAATCCTATTATCATGCTTGAGAAATACGATTTATTTTTTGGTCATTACATACAAATTCTCATATATACACTCGAATTTTAATAATTGTGTAGATATAAATGCATGTATGCATTATGAAGCGCATGTGAGGCCTCCCAACATCCAACAATAACTTTTCTTAGGCGTAGAAGCTGATGCTTTATAATTTTATGATTAAAAACTCGGAAAAAACGTGCTCTTTTCTCTAAAGTAATACATCGTCATTTATTTTCTCATACTGAAAAAATAAATGACGATGAAGCTTTACAGACATTTTGTAATGTTTCGTGTCACGAGGATATAAGAATGATATTTAGAAGGCGAACACACGCCCACAGTAAATATGTTAAATCACATAAGCAGATTATGACATAAATATATTAGGATATTATTCGGCGGCACGTATCTAGTGCCTGCACAAATCAAAACCTCGGTGGAGAGCTGACGGCAAAGAACACGCGAGCATGTAATGTCGCCACACCTAATACGCCACATGATGACAAACATGCGCACAGTCAAGCTGTTCATATGCCCCGACTTTGGTCTGCGTTCGTACGTTGGACATGAAGTTCTGTAGCCGACTTGTAATGTAAACACTATACAATTAGTAAATACAAACACAACTCTCTGAACTGCTACTGTACGATGCACGCAAACTGACACTTTTTTACTCTAAATCAAGCGGCTGTTCTCATGTGTTAATCCGGTGTCGTCACCGTTCTTTAGTATAAGTGAAATTCGCGGTGTCGGCCGAATCTCTAAAACTTAGTCATTTATTCAACATTAAAGATTCCAATGTTACGTATTAGTTAGTTGTTCTGTTCCTCGAGTGGCAGATTCTGATTATTTTGAAAGTGAGTGTACCAAATTGAAATCTATTTAAACTAAGCCGTGACCGTGTCGTTAATTAAATTACTATTACATCAACGACTCATTGAGTCGGTCGAGTAGGCGGTCTGCAGCGGTCTGCGGCGGTCTGCGGCGGTCTGCGGCTGTCTGCAGTGGTCTGCAGCGGTCTGCGACTCTAACTATTCGGCACACAATTGCTAATTACGTGGTGCAATTGTTTGATGTACTGCGATGGCATAAATTATGTCCTGCAATATCAATTGGTCGTCTGCACTGTAAGTGCATGTACGTGCATTACAGTCGCGGTTATGTTTGTGGCTATTAAGTTCTTCACATGTTTAGTTTTATTATTGCTGACAGCTCCGTTGTGAGCCGTCTAACTTTCTTTATTCATACATAAATCGTAATGAACCAACAAATTCTCCTCAAAATTTATAAAACATAAATTTCCCCGCTGAAAAATGCACCACAGCACGCGTGTATCTTTCTGGACCATTACACGCCGCCGCCTCGCCGCCCCGCCGCCCCGCCGCCCCGCCGCATCGTCTCTCGCGCCTGCCACTGACACCTTACTCGCTGTCAACAAGCGAAGGTAACAGATAACTCATCATTTTCTGGATAATAAAGTTGTTGAAAAAAAAGTATGAATACAGCACTTTTGTGCAACCATAATTTTATTGCACAAAAATTGCAATTTATTATGCCTACATCGAGAACCTTCTGCAAAGGTAGATATGATAACGTAGCTTACAAAATTCAATGTTTTATGGTCATTGGTTTCATATAAAAGCTTCAGTGATTTTTATGTAGAAGTTAAGAGATAAAGTAAACATTCAGTTAGGTTCTGAGATCTCACTTCCATTGCAGGCTGGCTTTGAGCGTAGCGCCGCGCCGCCGCCGCTGACTGTCGGCACTGTTGACACCACTAGATAAGCAATCTAGTTCCATGGTGCGATCGCGTGTCTGCTGTCACACGGAATGGTATCGTGTATGTGTAAATCGAACGCCAGTTATCCGGCCGGTGCGGGCTGGCGGGGCGGGGCGGTGTGCGGGGCGGTGTGCGGGGGAGGTGAGGAGCCGGTAATGAGGCGTACACTATCATAAGAAGCAAATGAATACCATACCACCCGGTGTAAATAACAGCTTTGTCAGCTCGTATGTAAGGATATATGTTAACAACATGTTTCTTTAAATTAAATACGGACTATTTGCTTTGCGCAATATTGGCGAGCACATTGCACGGACCGAGGAATGACTTCAAATAACTCGCAAAATAACTTATTGATTTCGAGATAAGTTATGTTCCTGTGACCCGTTCCAATCACTTCCAGTGCTCGGGTGAGTCGGGGTGACAGAAATAATGCCGTGTCGTCAGGCTAGCCCCGCTTGATGCCGCGGTTCTTAAGCGAGTGATGTTTCATAATACGTAATTTTTCTAAACGGAAAATTGTTTAATTGATCTGTGTTTCATTTTAAAAGAAATATTTAATGAAATCGAAGCTCAGTCAAGTGGCAGGAGCGATGTGAAGGGGGCTTGGGAATTGCGAAACGGACGGGAATTGTTGCTGAAATATTATGGGTTTTCTGAGGAATTCTTCTAAAAGAACAAGCGCCGAATTAAATTTGCGATCGGAGAAATGCTTACTTTACTTTTATGTATTTTTAGTGCTTCATTGTTACTTAATTTATTATTGAATTGCGGGTGACCGCTCTATCGGGCGAGATCTTCATCCTGATGCTATAAAATTCAATACTAGGTAGGTTTAGTTGTGTTAGTTTCAACTAACTTCAGTTTTCGGTGAAAATCACTGAGC